AGAATGGGATGACTCACAGGAAAATGTTGCAGTAACATAAATTAGATTTGTCTTGGGATGTCATAATTAGGGTAGCTTGTTGCTTAGTCACATCTAACTCTTCATGACCTTATTTGTGGTGTTCTTGGCAGAGATGCTGGAGTAATTTTCCATTTCCTTCTCTAGATCATTTTACAGATGAGAAACTGAGGCAAACAGGGTTAAGTGACTTGCCTAGGGTCACACAGGTAGAAAATGTTTGAGGTCAGATCTGAACTCAAGATGAGTCTTCCTGACTTCAGGCCCAGCACCCTATCCACCTAGCTGGATAACTAGGGAAATAAAAAGCAAACCCCCCCCAAAAAAACAAAAAGCAATTCCTGCCCTCCAGGAACCTATTGTTCTATTGTAGAAAAGCAACAGGCACACAGATAAATGGAAATAAAATACATAGAAAACATTCAGGGGAAGCACTGACAACTGATTCAGGAAAGACCTCTTGGGACATTTTATCTGGATCATAAAAAGAGGGGTTCCAAAAATATAGAGGCCAATCTTTGGGACAGCTTGTATAGAGATACAGAGATAGGGGATGGGACAACAGGTATGGAGATAAGCAAGTAAGCCATTTTGGGTAGAAGGTAGTAGTAGATGAAGGGAAATTATGTATTAGTCACATAATACATAGAAGGTAGGTTGCGATTGTGTTGGTAAAGACTTTAAAATGTCAAATAGAGGAGTTTGTACTTTATCCTCAAGGCAATAGTGAATCAATCACTGAAGTTTCTTGAGTAGTGGAGTGACATGGTTAGACGTAGATTTTAGGAAAATCTCTTTGGCACCTTTGTAGGATGGATTAGAAAGGGTAAAGGCTGAAGGAAGGGAGACATTATGAGGCTTGTGATGAGCATATGGACTATAGTTGTTGTTGGTTTTTTTGTTTTTGTTTTTATCTTTTTGTTTGTAAGTGAAGATAAGGGGACACATGCAAATGATACTGTGGAGGTAGAATTGACAAAACTTGGCACCCGAGTCAATGATAAGTCCTATGTCAAGAATCTGGAAAGGATAAATAAAGACAACCAGTATAATTATGTGAATAATGTGAGTACCAGTTGTAGAAGCCAGGAAGGGAAGTGAAGATTCATTTCTAAGCTACATATAAGCTCAGGATAAGCCAATGTGACTGCTAAAAAGAGCTGGTGCAATCCTGGGCTTCACAACTTGCACATAGACACACAGCTAGTTTGTGGCAGTAGCCTGTGTATAAGACCAGCAGTTTTCAATTCATTCCGTTTTCAAACATGACAGAAATCTTGTGGAGAAGAGTGCTGCTTACAGAGGGGATGGTTAGAGACAGGAAAGAGATTATGCTAAAAGATCAATTCTCTAGCTGGTCAAGTCGTCCTGACCCTGGGCAAGTCACAATCCATGTTTGCCTCAGTTATCTCATCTCTAAAATGGAGATAATCATAGTACCTACCTCTCAGGATTGTTGTGAGGATCAAATGAGATAACAATTGTAAAACACTTAGCACAGTGTCTGTTGTACAGTATGTGCTATATAAATGTTAGCTATTGTTATTATTGGCTTTTGCTGGAATGAGTCTCCACAATCTCTGTGCTGCTGCTACATAAGAAGCCAGCTGAGAGGAAGCCAGGATGGTGGAGTTGGTGGGGCAGGCTAGTGGAATGAGGGACTGAGCCAACATGAAGAGCCAGTAAGAGCAGTGGATAGAACGCTGGCCCTGGAGTCAGGAGGACCTGAGTTCAAATTCGGCCTCAGACCAAACACTTGACACTTGCTAGCTGTGTGATCCTGGGCAAGTCACTTAACCTCAATTGCCTCAAAAAGAAAAAAAAAGTACAACTGGGAACTGGCCAATAAGCCCAGTACTAATGAGCATGTACATTGTGATGCTGATACAATTCTATGACAAAGAGGCTGGGGAGCCTGCTTCTGGGTGAGTCATGATGACATGTAATGAAAGTACTTTGATGAGACTTTGGAACGTGCAAAGACATTCTGTAGCTGTTTCTGATTTGATAATGTGATGAATAGGAGCCTCTTTGATTGGCTATGTTTGTGTAGCTGGAATTGGGGTGAGGTGCCTTCCAAAAGCACTAGTCAACCTTACCCCTTCTCCTCCCATTGACTTCTTGCCTTATGGCATCCAGTGAGAGAAAAGAGGCAGTTTGGTGGGGGCAGAGGCCGCTCTATCCAAGGCCAGAATATAGCCAATGAATAAAGGGCCTTGGTTCCCTGGCTCAGCATTTGTTCTTTCATTGTAGGTGAAGGAGAAATTGGAGATGATTATGATCTCAGGAACTCTGAGATGCCAGGAGAGCAAGCCACTCAGAGTCTGGGAGTTAAATCCACACCAGGTGGATCATAGTCAGCCCAGAACAGACGCCTCAAAGAGTGGCCTTGGAGACTCAGCCCGCAAGTGTTTGAGAGAGAGACTCATCCAGCAGTGATGCTGCATTTGAACATGAACTTCGTGAGCAGAGCTCTGCAGAAACCGTATTGTCTGATCCCACTTTTCCGAAAGACTGAGGTAGTATAGAGGAGAGTGTGCCTCTGAGGTATTAAGGGAAAATGTTTGTTCCTCTGTTCTTGCCCTTGGAAGTAAATATTCCTTTGTAAAGGCCAACTGATGGTAATTGATTAAATGGAACTGGGGTCTTGATCACTGGCCCTAGCAGTGGAAGGACATCATTGGAACAGGTACTCAAGCTGATCCCTTAGGGATGCTTCCAGAACCCAAGGGGGGATATGTAGCTACTCTTGCTCTGGGAGAAAGAGGTCAGAGAAGAATCACCACACTAATAGGCAGCACACATTTCCCTAGCACCTGCTACAAGTCTTGGATATATTCCCCTTTTCTACCCTCTGTACCCAACTGTTTTGGGGGACCCAGCAAGAGGTTAATCATGAGTAAGACAAGTGCATCCCAGGTGACCTGGGTGGAGAAATGGATGGAAGTCATTTGTGTGTGTCTAGAATGGTAATGCCTGATTTAATTCCATAGTGCTGTCTATTATTCTGACTCAACATATCCCTTTGCTTTGAATTTGTAGTCATTGGGTTTGGTTAGAAAAACATTGGCACTGGCTCTTCAGCCATGGGGTTAAATATATGATTACCCTGACAGTACAAAGGACTGAATATAACTGATAGGAGATGGCAGATGAGAAGACACACAGGGACTATACTGAGAACCAATGAAAACTGAGCAAACTAGATACATGAGCAACAGCATAAATTTAACATCTATAAAAAAGTAGTTATGAATTCAAGGTATAAAGCCAGACTTGCTAAAGCATTCTTCCTATAATCACATTGTCTTTAAGCAGAATGCTTTTTGTTCAACTTTTCACGTCCCTGCTTTATATTTCTCTGTATTCTCCCATAGAACTTAGGGCAATGTTGGAACACATAGTAAATACTCAATATATACTTATTGAATAAATAATGTTAAGTTGGACCAAAACACCACCACTCAGACTCAGTTTCTCTAGAGAGTTGGACTGACAAAAAGGCTCTTGCTGGGATACAGTCTTAAGACAAAAGTGTGATGAGATGCAAGGAGCTCTCATGACAGAAGCACAGAAAAGGGCATAGATACGGCAGGCTAAATAGAGAAATGCCCAGAACTGAAGTCATGTCTTCTTTCTGATTCCCATCTTACTAACATTCAATATAGCCCTGGCCAAGAAAAGAGAGAGAGGAATGGTTTTCTTTCATCTTTCTTCATTACCAAGTCAAAGTGAGGGTTCCTATCAGCGTATTAACTTATTTCCTCAGCCACCCAGTCCTAAATATGACCCTGGGGCTCCTGTTCCTATCACCCACAGGGTAACACATGCATCTGAAATCCAATTCATTGTTTTGCTCCATGTGATTGGGAAATTATTTTGTTCCTATCCAACCCTGGCCACTCCCAACTGCCTGCCTCCCTTCCAGGTTTAGTTGAGCTATAAAACAGACATTCACAGGGTCAGAAAAGACCCAAGCATCTTCTAAACCTTAGGAATCATTTGGAGCTGTTGTCTACCAGAGCCACAGTCCAAGGCCTGGGTGAGAACACACACTGGGGAGTCAAGGCTTGACTTTGTTGGGGACTAAGAGTTGAGCTTAAGGTAGATAAAATGGCACTAGGAAGAGTGAGTTAAGGCCATAGCAGAAAAAAGGGAGAGAGCAGGGAACCTTCCAGGTTAGTAAGGGAAATATTTCTGAATGGAGATGCTGGTTAGAGATTAAGAAGGGAATAAGGCAGGATAGAATTATGTGATAGAATCCTGCCAAAAACTCATTTTTCAGGAGACTTTTCCTTGATTGCTTCCCCACACTGATTACTCTTCTACAGTACACTCCCTTATCACTTAGGTATTTGATTTGGATTATAACCATGGATGGGCATGCTTTATAAGTCTTCTGACCTCTGTCTTGGGTGTAGAATCTGTCTTGTCAGCTAGAGAAATAAGATTCTTGAGGGTAAGAATGAAATGCTGCTTCCTTTACTCTTTAATGGAAAATATATGTTCTTACTTTAGCATGTATTTCTACTGTATTTATGTGATACCATATATTTGTAAGGTGGGTTTGAGTGGTAAGTTTTTAGGAAAGAATAAGGAATCCAGGAGGGCAAGGAAAGGCACATAATTCTTACTTCTAAGCAGAGGAGGCAGAGGACTGATGGTCCCAGGAACACACTGATACCAAAACTTTGCAAGAAAGGTGAAAAGGGACACTGTTTTTGGAGGTGGAAGGAAGAAGGAGTTGGATGTCCTGCTGGTAGTCATGCCTTGACCCTCCCTCCTTGTAAGAAGCATGACATCTAGCACTGTGGCATTCTAGTTAGTTAGGAAAAGAGGCTGCTTAGTCTGGAAGCTGTCAGCTCCTAGGACCAGAATAGAACGGCTTTTGGCTAAGGTTTCTTGGTGCTGGGATGCCTCAGCTTTGCAATCTGTGAATTTATTCTGTTTTATACTTTTTTTTTCCTAGTTGGTAGTGTTAACAGGATTTTACTGAGCCAGTCTCTAACCTGAGAATGACGAAACTGCAGGCCAGACATAAAGTGCCAGTAATCAGATAGCTGTTTAATTAGTTAGTTTCATTATGAGGAATGGATTTGCAAATCAGGAATTTTCCTGATCGGCCTTCTACCTTGCTGAAGTGAAGACAGAGGTTTTATACATAAATCACGTGTGGGAAGGGAAGGAAGAAGGGACGTTACAAGCAATCGTTTCCCACAACAAGCCCACAAGTCCCGCAATCACTGAGGTAGGTAGGGGTCCTGAAGTTCTGTGGGAACAACATTGCTTCAGGTCCTTGGGCTGTTACTTGGTGGATCCCAGGACCAGAGGTTTGTGACTGCAACAGGTTCTTTGATTCATTTCACTTAAGGTACACAAGCACAAGAATGCAATGATTGTGAGAGCATTGTCAAGGTTTGATTGAGCGTTTCGAGCTGCATCGCAAGCCAGAAGAGGCAATTCTGACAAGTCTAAGTTATTAGTATATTCGTTACACATATCATATTGATTGACATGAAAACCATAATTCCCTTCCTAGTAGCAAAGTCTATTTTTGGAAAAACTGGGCAAAGCAAAGCAAAACAGAATGAAACAATCTGCTTCAAATGAAGACAGGGAATAGCTATGCTGAGGCAGGAAGAATCTGGAAGGGGTATGGATTCAGACTCCCTTGGAGGCCAGTCAAAGGCTGCTATCATGAAAAGGCAGAGAGAAGTTGCCACCCTAGCAGTAACAGGATGCAAGCTTGCATAGTAATAGAGAAAAGTCCCCAAGCATTACTGAGTCTGGGCTCTGGTTTCAAGTGTTGGCTTCCTTCTTCGGAATTATTTCTTTATAACCCTGGAGGGAAGGAGGAAAGTGGATTTGGAATGAGAGGATATATGTTTGAATTCTGGCTCTGTTCAAATATGACCTCAGACACTTAGTAGTGTCACTTAACTTGTCTGTCTCAGTTTCTTCAACTGTAAAGTGGGGGTCATAATAGCACTTGCCTGGCAAGGTGGTTGGAAGGATGAAATGAGATATCTGTAGAAAATGCTTGGTACAGTAGTAGGTACTTAAAAAACACTTGTTGCCTTCTCCTTCCTTTCATCTGTAAAACGAGAACCTTGGATTCAATGGCCTCTAAGGTCCTTTTCAGCTCTAAATCTAGGATCAATCTTCTATTTCTTTTCTATTCCTCCTCCTCACCTCATTTGTGGTGCCTAGTATGGTTCTCTGTGTAGTGAATGCTCAATGAGTGTTATTCACTAACTGCAGATGCTGAGGTAAGTGGAAGTAATGGCGTGACTTGGGAGTCACAGGAGGGGATCAAGCTGTTTGAAGAATGACTGCATTTCTCCTGTTTGCTCTGTTCTCATGCTCTCCATCTCTTTTTCTTTTCCAGCTAATCAGAGAGATGGCTCCAGTTCTGCTGTTCCTGTGCTGTAGGCAGCAGCCATGATCCTAGCCACTGAAATGATTCCCCTGGTTTCGCTAGGTTTCAGTGGTTCAGGATGCAGCACTGGTGGTTCCCCAAGGACAGTTCCTCCAATCCCAATGTCTATTGTGATAAAGAGATGGCAGAACGTGTCAATAAACACCTTGACTTTTGCAAATACAAAAATGACTTTCTGCATGATGAGATCCAGAATATCATCAATGTTTGCCAGCTCCCTGCTATTACCTGTAAGAATGGCAGAGATCGCAACTGTCATAAGAGCTCAACAGCGATTGACATGACCAAACGCATTCTCACCTGGAAGAATGCCAGCTACCGCTTCCGAGGCACTGTTACCAAAGCACGTTTTGTGGTGGCCCGTAGTCCCCCCCAACCTAATGACCCCCAAAGGGATCTGCTGCTTCCTGTGCATCTGGATTAGGCCCCCACCACATGTTACTTCCACTCTCCAAGGTGATTCTGCCCCTCCTACTCCTTTACCCTTCTGCTTCAGGTCTCATTCTGCTTGTTTCTTCTGTAGCATTTGCTCATTTCCCAAATTCCTGGAATCCCTCTCTTCCCATTAACCCAGTAGTCATTCTCCTAGTTGAGGTCCTTCTGGGTCTAGTGGTCATATTTTTGACTGGTGATAGCACAACAGCGTGGGAGGAAGCTGCATTATTAATACTTTACTTGACGTTCATTGATAAAAGTTATTTTCCCTATTCTCTACTCATGGGATCATAGATGCAGACCTGGAAGGGACCTCAGAGGTCACCTAAGTCAAGTAGATTCATTTTCCAGATGAGGAACTTAAGGCCCTGAGAAGTTGCCTTTTTTCCCCCTCAAGGTCACAGGGGTGTGGGAAACATTAAAGATGGAATTTGCATGTAGGTTCTGTGACTTTAGGGCAGGAGTCCTTAGCCTTGTTTGGTATTGCAGGCCCCTTTAACAATCTAGTGAAGCCTGTAGACTCCTCAAAATGTTTTTAAATACTTGAAGGAAAGGCTAATTTTCAGCTAGAGGATAGTCAAAATAAAAAATATAACTTTTCCCCCTTCAAGTTTACAAATCATCTATGATTTTTCCTTGAACCTTTCCATGGATCCCAGCCGTGACCTGTTCCAGGACACTATTCCTCTCTCTCCATGAATGATGTGGAATGGAATGGTCTTTCTCCATCATTTTTTTTGTACTTAATATTATTTTTTCAATTACATGTAAAATTTCAACATTCATTTTTGTAAGATTTTGAGCTCCAAATTTTTCTTCCTCTCTCCCTTCTCTCCATCCTCCCCAAGACAGCAAGCAGTCTGATATAGGTTATACATATACAATCATGTTAAACTTATTTCCATATTAGTCATGTTGTGAAAGAAGAATCAGAATAAAAAGCAAAAACCACAAGGAAAAAAAAACAAAAAAAGTAAAATTAGTATGCTTTCAGACTCCATAGTTCTTTCTTTGGATGTGAACAGCGTTTTCCATCACGAGTCTTTTGGAATTGTCTTGAATCATTGTATTGCCGAGAAGAGCTAAGTCTATCATAGTTGATCATCGCACAATGTTGTTATTACTGTGTACAATGTTATCCTGGTTCTGCTTACTTACTCAGCATCAGTTTATGTCAGTCTTTCCAGGTTTTTCTGAAATCTGCCTGCTCATCATTTTTTACAGAACAATAATATTTTATTATATTCTTTTGCCACAACTTGTTCAGCCATTCCCCAGATGATGGGCATCCCCACAATTTCTAGTTCTTTGCCTCCAGAAAAGGGCTGCTATAAATATTTTTGTTCATGTGGGTACTTTTCCCTTTTTTATGATCTCTTTGGGAGATAGCCCTAGAAGTGCTAATTTTATAGCCCTTTGGGTGTAGTTCCAAATTGCTTTCCACAATGTTTGGATCAGTTCACAACTCCACCAACAATGCATTACTCCTCTCATTTTCCCACATCTTCTCCAACATCTATCATTTTCCTTTTCTGTCATATTAGCCAATCTAATGGGTATGCAGTGGGACATCAGAGTTGTTTTAATTTGTATTTCTCTAATTAAAAGTGATTTAGAGCATTTTTTAAAAATAGATTTTTTAAAAGTTATTTTTAAAATTATCTATTTTTTCAAAATAGATAACTTTAATCTCATCATCTAAAAGCTGTCTGTTTATATTCTTTGACCATTTATCAATTGGGAAATGACTTGTATTCTTATAAATTTGATTTAGTTCTCCATATATTTGAGAAATGAGGTCTTTATCAGAGACACTTGCTGTAAAGATTATTTTCCAGCTTTCTGTTTTCCTTCTAATTTTGGTTACATTGGTTTTGTTCATGCAAAATTTTTAAAAATTTGATGTAATCAAAATTATCCATTTTGCATTTAATAATGTTCTCTGCCTCTTGTTTGGTCATAAACTCTTCCCTTCTCCATAGGTCTGACAGGTAATTTGCTTATGGTATCACCCTTTATGTCTAAATCATGTACCCATTCCATTTTGACCTTATCTTGGTATAGGGTGTGGGATATTGGTCTATGCCTAGTTTCTGCTATACTATATTCCAGTTTTCCTAGCAGGTTTTGTCAGATAGTGAGTTCTTATCCCAGAAGCTGGAGTCTTGGTGTTTATTAAACTGTAGATTACTATAGTCATTTACTACTGTTCTATCATTCTTTAATGGACAATTAACAATACAATATACATCGTTGAAACTCCTGACTAGTGTTAAACTACTCCAATAAAAGTCCAAAATCTCTTTTCATTACTGGTTGTAGCTGTTTCTTCTTAATCTGGTTTTAGATGAGGAAACAGGCATGCCTAGAGGCTGCTTTTAGAACTATTAGAAATCCACCCAATATCAAAATCACAAAGAGGGGAAACAATTCTACCATATGATGGATGGTAACCCCCATTGTGTCATTGTGTCAGCTGCTTCCTAGCTGAAAACTAGGTGAACCTGGAGTTTGGTGCTTACCACAGTGTTTCTTTAATGTTTCTGACATCATCCTGTGCTTCTCCCATTACCCAGTTCACTGGATCAATTTCATTGTGGTGAAATTTCACCATCCATATTTGGTCTTGAGCATGTTCTCTTCATGTGCATTTCTGAGTATATTCTGACTCATTTTGTAACCATGCAGAAACACCTGACAGAGCATTTTGAAAGTTCAGACCTCCAACTAAGGGACTTCTCAGAGGAAGGAGAGGAAGTCCCCTATTTAACAAGCAGAGTGACCCCCATCTTGTACCACAACGTAAGCTCATTCTCCCTGTACTTCGCTGCAAACACCTTCCAGAAAGCAGTTGATTGTTTTTAAAATATCCACGCATAGCAGGACATCGGACACTCTTTTTGACTGCTAACTTTACCTGGCTACCATGAGGCTACATAAGCCCATACTTTCTATCACTTCGGCACCCTGAGGATGGGAATATTGTGCAAATGAAACCTGGAAAAAACCTGTTTCAAATATGGGTTATACAAATAAGAGAAAATTATCCAATTCTAGACTTAATGGTCATTTTGCTTCCTAATTTAACCTTTACCTGAAGTCCCCCAGGCCATACTTGGCCCATGTCCTTCGCTAGTATAGGGACCACACACAACACCAGGTCCAGAGATCTGCTGTGCTCAAACCCTAATTAGTTCATTCCCTTTCTGCTCAAATCTATTATATTACATAAACCCAATTCTCACCACAGTCTCAAAACAAGGGGTAATGGAAAGAACATTGGATATAAGGCCAGAAGACCTTGCTTTGAATCTCAGATCTATTATTGACTACATTTGTACACCAACCCCCTGGCAGATTTCCACTGAAGGATAGCCTAGGTGAAAAGAAGCAGAAGCAAGGGACAGAAAGAGAAATGGGGAGAGGAGAGACAAGGAATGGACTTTGAGTAAGCACCCTCCATAGCCAGAAACATGTTGGGAAGAGTCGGAACTCCAATGTGTCCCTTGATTCCCAGCACCTGCAACCTTAGAGATAACTAAGTGTGGACTGCTTGGGTAACACTTTCTCTCTTGTGTCACAGAACCTCTTTACTCATATATTCTATCACCTAATCTAATCTGTATGGATTTTGCAATGACTGTTTTATGGCCTGCTTTGATAAATATATTTGTTTGCTGTTTGTGACTGTCTTTTGTGTAATGTTTGGTGGGAAAGGAGCCAAACTGAGATTAAGTTACTGTTACCTTCCAAGTCTGGGGCAGAATTACTTTTTCTGCTCATACCCACCCTCCAGATAAACCAGGAAATTTGTCTTTTGTCCTGAACTGCCCTAAAATAATTAAACTCTTAGTCTGTAAATATCTGATATGTGATAGATATAAGTCCAAGCTCAATATTATCTTGAAGCTATATAGAAGAGTGAGGGAGTGATCACCCGGCAATCTTCCTAATCCCTACAAAGGTGGAACTGTAATTACCCCAAGACTTGGAATGGGGGCCTTCTAGATATCTCTATAAATTTGTGTTACTCACAGGCAGCCTGGTACTTTGTTAGATACCGCATCTTTATCCAGTCACTGTACTTCCAACTCATTTATGCTTCCTCTTAAGTGGTGTAGGTTCAGCCTGATTCAGGCCTGTCTGGTGCTAGGGTGGGAATTGGAACAAAAGGAGACATTTGGAGACTATCCAATAGTTAACAAAAGGTTGACTTAGCCATAGCACAGAAAGTATACTCAGAAAGGACACAGCATTGATCTGGTTGGGCACAGCTTCCTGGACCTTAGATTGCTAGCATGGGCTGGCACTCCAGGATAGCTTGAGGGAGGAAGACAACTCCTGCCTCCTTCTGGCCTGCCTTTTGTTCTTGAGCCACCAGAGTTGCTAAATCAAGGGCTGATTAAGTTTTGAGGAGGGTTTTAATAATGCCTTTTAAGGAAAATAAATGAGCCTAGCCTACCTAACAGATATTGCTTCTATCACTGGAGGAACAGATAATCTTTCATAAGAGCTTTTTCAGAAAAATCACAGTTTATCATTGGACTGACCTTTTGGATGCGGTCAAAGTGGACAGGCTTCCCATTCTCACAGGCCATGGTGACTTTGACTGGTTCTTTCTTGGTACAATGGTAGCGGCATTTACCGGGTTTTGAGTTTCCCGTCTCATGACAGATGGTGGCAGAGTATGGGTTCGGGCCCTTAAAGCAATTGTCTCACCCATTTTTGCAAGGAACATTTTTGCTGTTGGGATTGGTGCAGATATTCTCAATCTTGCCCTTTTGGCCGTGAATGACAGTATTGACGGGTTTGCATTTCTTTTTGCCTAAGTTGATCTGCCTCATTTGTTTCTGGATCTCTTGAATACTGCTCCTTTCATTGTAGTGCTCCTGCCAAAACTTCTGCTCCCTCATTGAAGATGCAGCAAGCAATGGGCTGGAATCTCTCATTGATAGCTATGAGGAAGAATAACATGCTGGTAACTGAGAATTCATATTCAATGAGTTGCTAGCACATAATAGTACATAGCTGCTGCATAGCCCATATGGACACACACACACACATACATACATTTATACATATATACATACCTCTCTCCACAGACTGATGACAATTCAAAAGGCAGTCAGTTCACTATAGAAACAGAGGAACCAGGAAAGTGAGTTGTAGTATTTACTAACTCTGTGAAGTAGAAAGGGGCTGATAGAGGTGATTGGTCTCAGTAAGAGATGAAATGAGGAATGATAGGATTTGACTAAAGTAAGAGGGAGGAAGGGAAAACCTATCTATCTATAGGAAAGGTTCTTAATTGTTTTTAAAAAACTATATTCCAAAATAAATTAATAAAAAAAGAAGAAAAAAGAAAACTATATTCCAATATAATTGGTTTCTTTTGTAATCCTATGTATTTTATTTTATTCATTTAAAAACACTTTTCTTAGAGTATGTTCATAGGCTTCAACAAATGACAGAAAAAAGGTTAAGAATCACTAATCTAGAGGGAGCACAGCAGTTTTGGTTATTATGGGAAGTAGGGCAAAGGCTGCTTGCTCTATCCCAGGGGTGAGGAGTCTGCGGCCTCAAGACCACGTGGCCTTCTAGGTCCTTAAGTGCAGCCCTTTGACTGAATCCAAACTTCACAGAACAAATCCCCTTAATAAAAAGATTTGTCCTGTAAAACTTGGACTCAATCAAAAGGCTGCATCCAAGGACCTAGAAGGCCACACGTGGGACTTTTCAGTTTTGCTCCTGCATTCTTTGCATGTTAGCAAGAAGCATTATTAGGGAGGAGATAGGAAGAAATTTCCTTACAACAGTCTCACCTAGCTCCTTTAAAATTTTGTTAAATGGAATCTCTTAGATGATTTGAAGGGTACACAGGCTAGTTACTCAGGGATATGATAGAATTTAAAGTGAATTTTAGACCATAACTCAGATAAGAATTTATTCTGAGAAATCAGCAGTAGCCAGAGAAATGTAGTTCAAAGCACAAGCTGTCTAAGTTTTGAGAACTTCTGGCTTTTGCTGGTTGCCTTGTAGAATGTGACTAAAGTATTTCAGATGCAATCCCTGTAAGAAGTAAATCCTCTCTCCCCAAGGGATAGACTTTATGGTATGTGCAATCCAATCGATAGCACCAGAGTATCTGATGACTTTTCATGGTAACTAAAGATCAGCAGACAGTAGCAGAGAATGTCAGTGGTGACATTTGCTAGAGAACAACAAAGAAAACTTCAGCTGAGAGAACAGTCACAAAGGACCCCATCTCACTCAATGACATCACCGAAGGGCATCTGCATCTCAGCCTGGTGAGTTGTACTGACCACACATTTCCTCTGTGTGACTATTCTTATATGTACCCTAGTGATGTGGTCCCTAGAGGCAGAATGGTCCAGGGAAAAGAACGCTGGGTATGGATTCAATGACTTAGGTCCAAATCCTGTCTTTGTCATTTTCTACCTGAGTGACCTTGGGGCAATCACTTAAGCTCTTTAAGACATAGTTTCCTCATCTGTTAAATGATAAGGTTGAATTAAATAGCTTCTAACTTTCCTTTCAGTCTAAATATATAATTCTACAGTCCTATACATGTGAATATTGAATGAATTACAATTATTTTAGTGCCTTTGTTTATTGTTAAATATCTCCTATGTGGCAGGTACTGTGCTAGGTTCTAGATACACATATACAGAAGTGAAACAATAGCTGACTTCAGGGACCTTAATAGAGGGAGACAACATATACAGGAAAATTGTGGCCAGAAAAGGGAGTTTTGGGCTAGAGAGTCACAAGAGTTCTGAGTAGAGCCATATGACAATTACTATTACACTCTTTCTAGTAGCAATGAAAGTGCTGATTTAATTACCCAGAGCAAAGATGAAAAGGGAGATTCTAGAGGAGGTTCCCACGAAGGAAGCAGGGAAGATGACAGCTACATATTCTCTGCATGTATTTCCTCTCTCTTTTACCAATCTATGTACAGAGGAATCTTGTCATTTATTTTTATGTCTTTGATTAAATGGAATTTGCGATCTTACAGACAGAGGATAATGATGAGGTGAAGTACCAAGGCTGGTGAGATGTTACAGGATGATGAGGTTATCCCAATAATGAACTTTCTGGGGCATGATGGAGAAGAAAGAGAAGCAATATTTGGGATAGATGGAGAGCCATAAAGTATAGCTCTGGGGTTTATGAGATGAGGGCATACATATCTGTGTATATGAGAGCCATTGGGACATAAAGCGTAGGTGTGAGTTTATGAGGTTTTGTATGAGGGTATAAGGGTGGCCAAAGTTGCTCAGGACATGTTGGAGGTCAGAATGACCAGTGGCCAGGCTAAGCAATCATAGTCATAAGGAGAAATGATGATGGCAAATGATAAAAAGCAAGTAAAGTGAGGCAGCTATAATAGGAGGGAAAGCATTCTTGAGTCAGACAGCCTGGGTATGAATGGTGACTTGCTATTTATTGTCAGTGTGAATTTGGGCAGGTCCAATCACTTCTTTGGTGTTTTCTCTCCTCATCTATAAGATAACTAATTTGGACAAGGCGATCTCCAAGAACCCTTCCAGGATATCTTCTACTTCTATGATTGGGTTGATGGAATTCCAAGGTCAATCCATATCAGTACTTTGGAGTACTAGAGATACCTCCTAGCCTGTAGAAGCATCTCTGAATGGACCCTCTTCTACATCTATTCCCAATTCTCTTTGACCCATAGGGGAGACTCCAGCAGCTGCAAGGCCAAGGTGAGAGGCAGAACTCTAACTACAGAATGTAAGCTGAAAGGAAACTTAGGGATCATGTATTACAACTCCCTTTTTTTTTTTTTACAGATACAGATATTGAGGCCCAGAGAATAACAGGGTGATGAGTATTAGATTAGAATGAGGAATCTTCTTCCCATCCTCCCAGTAGATCCACGGGGCCAAGTTTCAGGTTTCAGGAGGACGTGCAAGAACCATTGGGAGGAGCTCATCTACCCAATGGAAAGAAAGGTTTCTAGACAAAAGTTTCACATTCTGTGAGAGAAGAAACAAAGATGAAAGAAGTTAATTTCATAGAAATGAAAGAGATGCTCACCCAATTCACCAAGTTATCTTCTCCAAAGCAAAGTGATAACCTCTCATTTCCAGGGAACACCATCATGAACCACAGTACTCCCTGACCCCTCTTCAGAGGCAACGATTATCTCTATGAAATGGCTTTCTGAAGAAGGAGAAAAGGAAATGGAAGGAGACATGCTGTAAACTGTCTCCCTCTCCTCCATCCCTTCCTCCCACCTCCCCATCTCCCAACCATCAGCATCTGTCACTTAGGGCATTACTAGATTCACACTCATCAATACCTCAACTTGGGCAGATCCGTTTATTAAATTATCATACTGTCACCTAGGAGACCTGGACCCTCACTTGAAGGAAAAACCCTGGAATAGGTAGGGAAAGAGAAGGCTGTAGAAAGTCTGAGTGGCAGCAGAAGAGAAGTGTCCAGAGCAGTGGGAGAGAGAAGAGATAGTATAAGGGAAAGCAATTAGAAAACAGAATGAAGTCTAAGGTAATTAATCCTGAGGTGGAAGGAGGAAGAAGGAGACTGCAGCAGGTCAGTAACCTGAAGGAGTAAAGGGGTCATGTCTCCTTCACAGGTTTGCCCGGCTCTCAGTTTTGCCCAGGTACCAATACGCCATCCCCTCAATGTTTCTCTCCATCCCCATTCCTTTACTGTTCTTCATTCCCCTGAGCTCTTAATTTTTCCCATCCAGTCCTTCTCCCAATCCTTCCCTCTCTTCGGCTCAGTACTGACCCAGCCCCAGAAGTGTCTTGCCTTACCTAGTCCTCTAGTCCTGGCTCTAGCAGGGAACAGATCCAGCTGGTCTTGAGGCTGAGATGTTCTAAGGAACTAACATCTGACTGCAGAGCAGGACAAGGCAGAGGCAGGAAGTGGCAATGAAAAGGGTGGAGTGATTTGGAATCATCCTGTAAACGGAAAGCACGGATTTCCCTTGGCTAGGGGCCCCCCTACATTCACCAGCCCGACACTTTGGGACTGGCTCAAAGTTTAAGCATCGGCTTGGCTATATTAACATAGAAACAAATTTTAAAGCAATAGCTAACCCTGTCAGCTACTTCCCTCTAAGACTGGACATCTCCTATGAGGGGGAAGGAGAGGAAGAAAACACCAAGCATTTATTAAGTGCTAGGCACTGTGATAAGCAGCTAATTTTGGGGAAGTGAAGGAGAGAGGAGTAAAGCTTGATGGTATACAGACCAAGGGGAGAATATTTTTAGAATAGGAGAGACCTGAGAATTTTTGTAAATAGGACAAAAAACAGTGAAAAAGAGACCAAGGATTCAAGAGAGGGGATGATTGATGGAACTATTTTCTGGAGGATGTATGAGGAAACAAGAGTCTAGGGTATAAGTGGAAAGATTGGTTTTGGTAAGTAGACCTAATTCTTTCTTTTAGAGGAGGAAAGGAGAGAATATAAAGAAGACAAGGTAAAATAGGGGGTTTGTTCCCCACCCTCAAGGCCACAGGCTCCCCACCCTGGCTTCAGAATGAGCAATTGTCCAGAGAAGGGAAATTCGCCCCAGGGCAAGTTGACAAGTGACCAGAGATCATCTTCTTCTAAGGAAAAAGGCAGGGGGAGGGTCTGTTAGTGGATCATGGGCAGAGCCTGGTATTGGAGTGGGGATATGGAACTGAGGCTTGGTAGAACTGGCAACAAGATGCTGAGAGTATAGGTGGGAGAAGTCCTCTGGGGAAGCAGACTGAGTTCATGGGGCTTAGGCTGGCTGATGGGCCCCAAGAACTGGCAGGTAGAAAAAGAGACTCAGCTCTGACCCAGAGAATTTTGTCTCCTTAGTGTGTAAGGTCTACCTCACAACACTTCTTTCTTCCTGGGGACCAGAGCTTCCCCTCTCTTCGTCCATGACCAGCCTTTGGAAAGGAGGGCCTTTGGGTGGGCAGGTAGACAGGTGGTAGAAGATGTTGCTCATGTCCCTAATGGAGGGTCTTTCTGGGCATATCTTATACTTATTTTAGGTACCTTGTCTTTCCCTTTTTGCTCCCACCAGTTTCCTCAAGGCCTAGATCCTGGATTTTTAGTGGGAGGACTAGGTTGAAAGTATTGTGAGTAAAGATGGGGGTACTTTTGAAATCCAGAGGCCTTGCCAGGGTGAGACTTCCCTAGAAAGAAGAAAATATGTCCCCAGACTTAAATGTTTTTCACTGCCTCTCAGTACAAGTTGCCACAGCTCTTTAAGCGTTGGCAAAGCAGAGGAGGGAGAAAGTACTTGAGCCTCTGATGGAGGACCATTCTTTCCTGGAAATGCCTCTACCTTTCCATATCTGATACTTTTTCCCCCTCAAATATTTTCCCTAATAAGTAACTTAAATTTTCCTGAGGAACAAGAGACCAGGGTGGCCTGCCCAAACCAAGAGACCTCTCTGTTTAGCTACTTATACATGCTTCTCTGGAATGAGGGGTATTCCTGGCTCCCTAGACCCCCAAGAGAATTCAAACTTCATTTTTTTTTTTTGCTTTTTTGGTGAGGCAATCTGGGGTTAAGTGACTTGCCCAGGGTCACACAGCTAGTAAGTGTCAAGTGTTTGGTCTGAGGTCACATTTGAACTCAGGTCCTCCTGACTTCAGGGCTGGTGCTCTATCCACTGCACCACCTAGCTGCCCCTGAGATTTCAAACTTCAACAACTCGACTGAAAGAATGGCTGAGAGGCAGCATGGACATTGCCTACTCATCCACTTCCCTTTCATTCCCTAGGGCCAGTGTAAAGCAGGGGTTTCTGTGGAAAGGAGAAACATCTGCATCTTATATGTCTCTTCTCTTTTCCTTTGTAAATAAGTCCTAGAAAACTCATTCCTGTGGTATAGAATATGGGGGTGGGGGACAGGTGATAGGAAAAGAAAGAGGTGGATACCAGATCTGGGTACCCTGGTTACATGGCAGCAGCAAAGGAAGAGGAATAAAGATAATTAGGAATAAAGTTTGGCAGCTCTCAGAGGCCAGGGGGCCAATTTGGCTTGAATCAAGAGGCCAGACTGCTTAAGTTGGAGGTTAGGGATTAATGAAAATTTAAACAATAGTGATAAATAAAAATCCTAAAGACAAAAGCAAAGGTATCCTGGTTCCAAAGAAGGATGAGAGATGTAGGAAGTTAATGTAATCATCCAGTTCTAAGTTTCAGGGCTGGATCTTTCACATACTTTACCCAGCATTTTGCTTTCCCCTTTTTCATATACTTGGCATGTTTTATTTTGTATATGTACATATGTGTGTGTGTGTGCCTGTGTGTGTGTGTACTATTCTTCTACTAGACTTCATAAAGATAAACACAGTGACTTACTTTTCTTTGAATCTTTCCTTGTAACGAGCACAATGATCTGGGCACAATAGGGGCTTCATAAGTATTTGATTAATTGAACTGGGCATTAAGGTTGATAGGGATGTTTGAGAACAGAAGTGTAGAAATAGGGCTCCTAGCATTTTCCCTGGCTGTCTTCCATACCTGGAATGCTCTCCTTCCTCATCTCTACCTCCTGGCCTCCCTGGATGCCCTTCAAATCCTACCTTTCGCAGGAAACCTTTCCCAACCCCTCTTAATTCTAGAGTCTTCTGTCTGTTGATTATTTCCTATTTATCTTGTATGTAGCATGTTTGTACATAGCTATTTGCCTGTGGTCTTGTCCATAGACTGAGTTCCTGAGGGCAGAGTCAGGCTTTTATACTTCTTTGCAGGTATCAGGCTGCATGCACTGAAAGTCCTCCGAGGCATTGGGTTGACTTCGTTGTTGTATGACTGTGGAACCTTGACAGCCTATCAGCACCGTGCCAGAAAATCGAACCACTTAGGAGGCGGAGCCAAGATGGCGGAGTGAAAGCAGGGACTTGCTTGAGCTCTCCCCCAAACCCCTCCAAATACTCATAAAAATGGCTCTAAACAAATTCTGAAGCAGCAGAACCCACAAAAAGACAGAGTGGAACAAATTTCCAGCCCAAGACAACCTGGATGATTGATCAGAAAGGTGTATCGCCGGGCTGGGAGCGCAGCAGCAGTGCAGCACAGGCGCAGCGTGGGCGCGCAGGCTGCAGCAAACCTGGAGCAGGCCTCAGAGGACTGAATCTCGGGCAGCTGTGGAGGTTTCCAGACTCCTCAATCCACCAATGCCAAAGACAAATTAGAAGGTCGGTGGGAAAAGTCTGTTTCTGTTGGTGCCTGAGAAAGGAAGGCGGGGTTTCAGCTCCATTCCCCAAGAGCGTGGCCCTGTGGGGGGGCAGCTGCTTCCCGAGCTTCCAGCCCACAGACTGAGGGGGAATCCAGTGGCTGATCAGAGAGGGATTGCAGGGATCTCTTTGCCAGTGCTGAGGCAGGAATCTCTTGCTTTGCCCTGTTTGGATCTGGGCACAGTTCTGGGCGCGGTGCTGGGTGAGGAGGACGCTGGCTTGGTGGAGCTTGTAGTGGCTGTGGAGAGGAACCCCTCCTCACAGTTACAGGACAGAAAGGAGTACTTGTAGTCGCAGGCCAGGAAAGGAGTAAACACCTTGCCCCTTATCATACCACCTTGGAAGAACTGAAAATTTACAGGTCCCTACAAGTATCTCTGAAAACAGCTGTACAAACCCCCCGAAGCTTGGGACAGTACATTCTCCACATTGGAAGCAGATTCGTACCTTAACAAAGAGTTTAAAACTCAAGTAATTGGCGGGATCATGAGCAAGCAGGCAAAAAGAGTCAGACTATATTATCTTACTTTGGTGAAAAAGAAGATCAAAATATACAACCAGAAGAAGACAACAAAGTCAAAGCCCCTACATCCAAAGCCTCCAAGAAAAATATGAATTGGTCCCAGGCCATGGAAGAGCTCAAAAACGATTTTGAGAAGCAAGTTAGAGAAGTAGAGGAAAAACTGAGAGTGATGCTAAAGGAGACCCAAAAAAATACTGAAGAAAATAACACCTTAAAAAATAGCCTAACCCAAATGGCAAAAGAGGTCCAAAAAGCCAATGAGGAGAAAAATGCCCTAAAAAGCAAAATTGGCCAGATGGAAAAGGAAGTCCAAAAGCTTACTGAAGAAAATACTTCCTTAAAAATTAGAATAGAGCAATTGGAAGATAGTGACTTTATGAGAAATCACGACACAGTAGAACAAATCCAAAAGAATGAAAAATTAGAAAACAATGTGAAATATCTCATTGGAAAAACAACTGACCTGGAAAATAGATCCAGGAGAGAGAATTTAAAAATTATTGGACTATCTGAAAGCCATGATCAAAAAAAGAGCCTAGACATCATCTTTCAAGAAATTATCAAGGAAAACTGCCCTGATATAGTAGAACCAGAGGGCAAAATAGAAATTGAAAGAATCCACAGATCTCCTCCTGAAAGAGATCCCCAAAGGAAAACTCCTAGGAATATTGTAGCCAAATTCCAGAGTTCCCAGGTCAAGGAGAAAATATTACAAGCTGCCAGAAGGAAACAGTTCAAGTACTGTGGAACACAATCAGGATAACACAAGATTTAGCAGCTTCTACATTAAAGGACCGCAGGGCATGGAATATAATATTCCGGAGGGCAAAGGAGATAGGATTACAACCAAGAATCACCTACCCAGCAAAACTGAGTATAATCCTTCAGGGGAAAAAATGGTCATTCAGTGAAATAGAGGACTTTCAAGCATTCTTGATGAAAAGACCAGAGCTGAATAGAAAATTTGACTTTCAAATACAGGACTCAAGTGGAACATGAAGAGGTAAACAGGAAAGAGAAATCATAAGAGACTTATTAAGATTGAACTGTTTACATTCCTGCATGGAAAGATGATATTTATAACTCATGAGACCTTTGTCAGTATCAGGGTAGTTGGAGGAAAAAAATTATATGTATGTATATGTAGA